GGCAATTTGTATGGAGCTTGAAATCTTCTGTGTCTGGGGACAATGCATTATTGAAAACATTTTCTATATATTGGCTGTGTTATTCCATCTCAATAATGCTACTTGACTCACTAATGTTTTCTTATAAATACACCCTGAATGAGATTGCCATTTCAACTTCAAATTGAACAAAGCAGCTGTGATCCTACCAAGGATACCATTTGCAGTATTATGAACCGATTAGTGTGCAGCAAATCTAGACAGTACCTGATACGTTATTTAGATGGCTTTGTGAAGGGATAGCTATAAAGTCATCTACTGACACGTTCAGATCTAGTCATATTTTCTTTCCTACCCATCACCACTAGGTATGTGAAGGCCCAGAAAAAATGGTGGAGAAAGAACACAATAATACTACTACTACTTGTGCTTTGCACAGGATGTAAAGAATCTCAGGCTACAAGTGTTGTCCAAAGTGTTTGAACTGCAGCAACTAATTGTAATACAAGAGGGAAACTTTCCCTCCTCTAAGTATAGGCTGAGCTCACTTAAAGGTTCTTATATTAAAATACCTGCGTACCATGCCCAATAAATAAGAGTCTTTCCTAGTTAATACATTCTCAGTAAACTTTCTTTACAGTAGATTTCTCTGAATTCCACCCCAATCAATTACTCACAAACACCAGTAGATACCTGAACATACCTGCCCCACTGCTACCTCTTCTACAGAAAATACTTTATGTTCCTAAAACTAGAATGGGGTTTGAGATTTGTAAAGAGCAAAATAAGAATGAGTGTACATTTTTTATAATTTCCAAAAATGTCATTTTTTCTGACTCTTCCCCTATGTGCTCCAGAAAAAAAATCATATGCCCCCACGTTTAGCATCTCTAGTCGCCATGCCACCACAATTAATGCAGCATCTAGTTTTGTTTTCCTGTGATAACAGTTTTCATAGTCATGTGTTGATATATATTTGTTTAAGATAGGTTTAAGATTAGATGCAAAGGAACTAGCTTGTAGTACCTTTTGAATCAGGCTTTTAAAAAGTGTCTTAATTCATGCAAGAAAAACATGTTAAATGAATTTGAAAAGATTAGATTGGAATTGCCTGAAATTCTATTAAGCCACACTGCATGGACGTGCTGGGAATATAAATACAATTACTGTAAATTTGTACAAACTGATTTGTTGCATTATCTTGCTAATCTAACATACGGTACTTTTTGTGTCCATATTGCAGACGGCAACTCCAAACTAACATGGCAGTCAGACTGTGTGATGTGGCTTCTCTGCTTAGAAGTGGTTCGTGGGCAGCAGAGCCTTGGACTGGGGTCTGTGGGATTTTTCTTAAATTCTGTAGGCTATTTTTAACATGTTACAGTAGTGCTGAGGCCATACCAAACACTTGAAATTATATTTGGATTAATTTGTACACCAGCTGCTATGTTTTGGTGTAGGAAATTAGATTGTATCCCTGGTTTGGGGCAGTATTCAAGGCATCCTCTAACCTTGTAAATATACATCTGACTTCATCTAATACCATCTAACTTACTTCACAATAACTTGGGATATATTTTTGTTCCAATATCAATAACCTCTGTATATGTATTTAAAAAGAGCAGAGCTTATTTTAACACTGTTTTGGTATGGTCTGAATGCTGAATAACAGTAACTTCGGTAAATTTGTATCGTGTATTTTTTTGGTTACTCATGAAAGTATAGAATTCCATTCAAATCGTAAACTACTTGGCCAGAAAAAAGTAAAAATCAGGAACTACTGAACAACTTGATTTGCATCAGGTGAACAGCTGGCTTTGGTGTTTTTTACTCTTATCAATGGGCTAGGAACTATTTGTAAAAATGTAGGATATTAGTATTGCTTTATTTGGAACAGCAGATGGTCCTGTAGCTGAGACAGTGTAATTTCAGAATATATAAACTACTGCAGCTGTTCATTTGGATTTTGGTTTAGGATTTCATCCTTGCCATCTAAGCATGAAAATAAATATGCAGATATGTGAAGATGGTTAATTACCCTTAGAAATAAAATAAAAATCAAACACTTAAAACATATTTGTAGAAAGGGTTCAGTCTTCATGCAGTGCTGTGACCAGCCAGGAATACTTGAACAAGGTTCTGTTTAAATGGTTCTTGGCCAGCTTGTGCATGGACAATGTAAGCTTGTATTGAAATTGTAGGGAAAGGCTAATGTGTAAGCATATACTGGATTAAGTTGAAAGGATTGCTCATCAAAAGACGTGTGTCTCTTAAAATAAATACTGAAGGGGCTTTCTCTTTTTCTTTTTTCTTTTTCTGGAACCCAGTCATATCCTGGGTAATCCATAATCTTCCCTTTTTCAAGGGTAATATTTACAATCTACCCGTACTGACTTACCCTCATTTTCATCAAGATACTTTTTCAAACTTCCAGAGATTAAAAGTAGTCAACTGTAGACATTGAGGCCAAGATCCTTCTTTGAGTTGAGAGTAGCAAGCATATTTATTGGCACAATATGGTGCATTAAACTAGTTCTTGAGATTCAGATTGTGTTCTGTATTGGCAGATTTGATTAAATTTTAGATTCTCAGAGTCTTCAAATGGAGACTGACACTAGGAATGAATAGGTATTGCATTCTGCAGTAGCCAACTACTGTCATGTAGTAGCAGACATGAAACTGAAATGAATTTCTGCATTTATAAATTGAGTTTGTTTAAAAAGCCAAGGAATTTACTCAGATGTTTCGAATGAGCAACCCCAATTGGCCTGACAGATACACCTTTAGAATATTTCAATTTCACTAGATGAGCAAGTCTAGATGTGCTGCTTTGGGGACATTGGGAGGAATCATAGATCTCAAAATAGTTGCTTAGTAATTGATGATGAAGCTTTTACTGTCTTAGAATCAGTAGTGAAGAAGGACTGACATGGTCATACCAGCATTTTCTGTACTACTTAATCCTCATCAGTTGCAAAGTTTTGAAACAGAAAATTGTATTTTTCCAGCAATATGAACAATGCGGCCAACCCTCTTCAATACTGGAAAAGTAACCAAAACAGTACATTGCTTTAATAATGCATTTTCATGAAGTCTATTGTTGATTGTCATTTTCAGTTGACACTTTCCAAATGTGACTTCAGTTGAATCATTCTGAAGCTTTATCTGATGTTAGTATATCTAAAATATCTTAGTGCTGGCTTAGAAAAAAATATTTCTAACTCTTGCTATCTGAAAAATCTCCTGGGATTCCTGCCCCACCCCCAATAATCCTGACTTGGAAAGTCTTTCAGTGAAAGCTCTGCAGCTTTAAAACCTGCAAATGTTTTTTTATTGCTAGACAATTAAAACTGCTTTGTTTTTATTGTAGAACGTAATTGCAGCCCTGACAATTGGGCACTCTTGCATAGTGACAAAGCTTTAAATTCTTCTTGAGAATTGCTAATAGATTCTGAGATATGAATTCTGACAGTTCCCATTTTCTCTGTTTTTAGCAGGTAATTGCTGCCATGGAAACACAACTGTCTAATGGGCCAACTTGCAATAACACAGCCAATGGTCCTACTACCATAAACAACAACTGCTCATCACCAGTTGATTCTGGGAACACAGAGGACAGCAAAACCAATTTAATAGTCAACTATCTTCCTCAGAATATGACACAAGAAGAACTCAAAAGTCTGTTTGGGAGCATTGGTGAGATAGAATCCTGCAAACTTGTAAGAGACAAAATTACAGGTATGTAAGCACCAGGGGTTTGTGTGTGCATGGAGCACATGGAAGCTGATGCAAAACACGCTTAAACAGTATTGCTTGTGAATGAAAAAAATAGTGTTTGTTTGGAAGATGGATTAGCATTTACCCTTCTGCAATGTTAGAAATAAAAGGTTTAATGAGGTCTTCAGAAATAACTTGTGGATCTTTCAGATTTGGGGGCGGGGCGGGGGGGAGAATATTTCATTATACTGGCAACATGTCCATCTGTGTGCTAAGACTTGTTGATTTTCACAGAGGGCAATGACAATGGCTTCTAAAACTACCCTGTAACTAGAAATGAATAAAAAAAAATTAAATTTGTGAGGTTGCTCTGAGTTAGCATTGTCTTGAAACACACATTGTATTTTCTGACCCAGCGAATCAAAACAGATACCCTTTATAGTGCAGTCTTATACATTTATACATCTGAGTATAATCCCACTGAGCTCAGGATACCTTACCCCCAGGTAAGTGGCTATAGATTTTTAGCCATAGAAAATTTTAGCATTCAATATAGCATATCCCATCCCCATTCATAACAATGGTCAGATCACAAAGCTGAAACTAGAGGGGAGAATTTTACTTACATTTCTTAAATAAAACTTGCATACTGAAGTGGAATTTAGAAATACAGAGTATAAAATTATATTGAGGACAAGGATTGTTTGCTGTTTAGTCACAGCTCCATAAATGGGTGCTGTTTTCTGCTTCCATTCATGGGAATGGCACAAGGTGAAGGCAGGAATTCAAAACCCAATCTCAAAAATAGCAAATTAAATAATGTTCAGAGCCTTGAATCTGAGAACTGGGCTGCTTTTTATTTTGGGTCACTCATTGCTGGAAAGCCTCCAAGCAGCTTCATTTACACTGTTTGACAAACCCTGCATTATGCTAGCCAGAGGGAGGGTGCTGCACTTGACTGGGTTTCAAAATTCTGTGTTTGCATTATCCTCTTGGCAGCTTCTTGGCATTGAATTTCATCTTGCCCCCCTCTTTGTTTGCATTCGGCACCCTTTTCAAAAATTGACTGCTGTATTGTCACCTGAATCTTAGCAATTCTCCTGAGCTCTTACTTCATTTATATGATTTATAACCTGGCTTTCTACCAAAAATGGCACTTAAGGCGGCTTACAAAACAATTTAAAATTCATTAAAGCAATAAAATGCATTCAGCACAATAAACACTGCAGCTCACAAGCCAAAGGTCTTCTTTAATAAATGGCCTTTGCTTGCTGTTGGGAGGAAGCTTAGAGGAATGTGCCTGGAAGGACGCGTGGAAGCAGCAGTACTCTGGACCAGCTGCAGTTTCTGAAAAGCTTTCAAGGCATCCCTGAGTAAAGTATGTTCTGGTTATCCAGATGGGTTAAGCAATTAAGTCATGTACAACTGAGGCTAGATCAGAGGTGTCATTAGCAGTGCATCCAGGTGGTGCACTAGCCTCTGATACGGAAATGGCAATCTGGGCTTTCAGGATCAGGGCCAAGTCTAAGAGGGCATTCGAACTGCAAGCCTTAAGTCTTTGGGGAATAAACTTTATTTTTTCATCTGTTCAGTTCTTTTGACCAACCAGGAACACTCAGTCTCATTTGAATTAAGCTTCAGCTTATTTGCCTTCATCCAGCCCATTACCACTATCAACCATTTGAGTACCAGTACAGCTTCCTTGAATTTAGATGGAAAGGAGAAATAGTTCCTTTCAGTATAGTGGTGGTACCAAACCCCAAAGTTCTGGACTGTTTCTCCTAGCTATTCCATGAATTCATATATGGACTCCTGAGGGATACCACAAGCTAACAGCTACAGTGTGAAACAGGAATCTCCGGAGCACCACCATAAGAGTGCTTCCCAATCCCATCCTAGTCAGATGCTCATGGCAGATGGTATTGAAAGCTGCAGAACTAACAGGTAGATTTTCCACCAAGGCAACTGTGGTAGTCTCTGTCCCATAACCAGTCCTTGAGCCAGATTGAAATGGATCTAGATAATACACTTCATCCACCTTTAAATCTTTAAAGGTGCCTCATGTTCTAGCACTTTGTCCAGGAATGGGATATTGGAGACCAGCTGAAAATTATCCAGTGCAATAGCATTCAGGGAATCCTCACTCCACCCTGATAGTATCACCACCTCCCTGTAGGCAGGAATGAATCGCACTTTCCCTTAAGCACTCAGCTAGTCTTCCCTTTATGAACTAGGAAGGGCACACAAGTGGTAGCCCCCACTGCTCCAGAGAGCCTGTCCTTACATTCAGGTTGTTCCATTTGAAAAGCATCACTTGTAATTATATAAGCAGGGGCCCAGACTATTTTAGCCCGATGGCATTCGGGGTCAACCTGGATAAGGCTGATTTTATCTGTAAAGTGGTGCACGAATTGATGGCAACTGGCTGTTGAGTGGTCCAAGTCTTCTTTCAGGCCAGACTGCAACAGGCCACCATAAAAGTTCTGCTGAGTGACTCTGGCCTGACACAACAATGGCTGAATTCAATTGTCATAGAATAGGCTTTCAAATGAGCTCTAGTCTGTGTTCAGTCAGATACAGAATTGCTGTAGTTGGCATCTCACTCACTTTATCACCTGCAGCACTCTGGAAAACCAGGGGGTTCATTGGGTTTCATTCCATCATGTCATCTGCCCAGACCTTTTCTTTGTTCCAGAGATTAACTAGGGCTTTAAGGGAATTCCTTGCTGAGGTGATAGTGAAGTTCCCAAGAGCCATCAGAAAGCCACTCAAATTCACAAGGCTGAGAATAACTTGTTGGAAGTTGGTCAGGCCTCCATGGCAACCATACGTCTCTCCCAGTGAGTATCTGGCCTCAGTTCTTCAGCAGAGCAAACCTGGGATCTGGTTTTCTTCGTCGTGGCCTCTGTGCATCACACATATGGGTTCTGTGCCTGCGCCGGAAGATTGATAGTTAACGGTTTTGGCGGGAAACTCTGCTCCCCTCCCCCCCCCGTATTATATATGGAGTGGAGATTCCACCATTTTTCAGTCTTTGCGACCGCCATTCATTGTGCCTCGTGCTGCTTTCGCTCTCGCTAAGATCGTTACTCACCTTTCAGCTTTGTCAATTTCTCTCTCTCTCTTCTCCAAGTTAGTATTCCCTCATTTGTATTACTGTTGTTAGCGTTCCTGTTAGTTTCTTCGTTCCTCTTCTTCTTGTTCTATAAAAAACAAACCAAAAATATTATCTACTCCCTCTATACTATCTTCTTTCTTCTCTTTCCACAATGGTGCAACGATTGGCATTCTGCAAGTGCGTAGAGTGCGGCTCTAAGATGGCTGCAGCAGATCTGCACAACCTGTGCCGCCTCTGTTTGGGGGAAGGTCACAGGACGGACAAATGCGGCCACTGTCTGGCCTTCTTAAGCAGGCTAGGAAGAATAGGGAGAATCGCCTGCGTAAACTCCTGTGGGACCAGGCTCTCCTAAAATTGGACCGGCTGGTGGCTATAAGTCCGTTACAACTTCAGCTGCACCTGATCGCCGTCCGACGCCAACTGCTCCACCGCAGCGCCTGGCTCCTTCCTCTACTGCTCCGCTCTCCCTTCGGACGAAGGTGCTCCCATCATGGGCGATCAGCCTGCTTCCCTGCCAAAAAAGCAGCGGGAAAACACAGTGGCCCTGAAAAGCCGTCTGTGCATAAGAAGTCCAAGAAAGACAAGGCTGAAAAGCCGGTTAAGAAACTGAAAAAACCCAGCATTTCAAGCACCGACACTCGGGTTCTGCGGCTTCCTTGGTCCCAACTGCTGTGGTATGACACCCTCGGGTCTGACTATTCAGGCAGCTATGAGAGTTACTCCTCCGGCCTCTCCACGCCATACGGGAACTGAACCACACCAGGATCCACCTCGGGGTTCGATCAACGGCAAGATACAAGATTCTCCACCGAGGGCTAGGTCTCCCATGCCTATGCCTCCTGTACGGCTGGACACCAAGACTGGAATGTCTCCCCCGAGGAGCCATAGAAGTCGGTCTTCAGATGCCTGATCCGATGATTTGTATCACTTTCGTTCCGAGATGGGGTGACTACCAATCCGTCAGCTACTACCCTTCTGCTCGAGACCATTCTTCTCTGCGAGCTACTCGGGATCGCTTCCATCCTTCAGCCTCGAGAGATGTCCCATGGGCACCGTCTAGGGAGAGTGGTAGATCAGTGTCACCAGGAGATTCCTCATCCAGCGTTCCAGCTCCTTATTGGGTGGACTCAGACGAGTCCAAGGTCGATTCGACTTCACCTGATGCTGCGGTCACATCTCAAGGCCCCGGATCACCAGAAGAGCCACACCTCTCTTTCGCAGAGCTGATGTCCAGGCTGGTTCGGTCACTGGAGATCGAGGCCCAACAACAGCTGGGCCCAGTACCGATCGGTTCTACGATGTGGTCCGGGGCAAATAATCGACCTCCATCGCTTTGCTGCTCATCACAACTCTGCGCCAAGCGATGACTCAGCCATGGGACCTCCCAGCTCACCCTCCACCGACTTCAAAGAGATACGAAGCCATGTACCGGGTTCGGGAGGAGGACATTCCGTTCCACCTTCGTCACCCTAAACCAAACTCGGTCATGGTGGAGTCTTCTCAGGGCCGGGAGTCACGGAGTCACACCGTGCCCCAGGACAAGGAAGGAAGGAAGATCGATTCCCTTGCACGCCGAGTCTATGTGGCCTCTGGACTCGGCCTGCGAATCTCCAATTATGAGGCCACATTGGCGCGCTATCAATATTTTATAATGCAGCACCTAGACAACATCATTACCGCTCTCTGAGACAACCAAGGCGACCTTGCACGGGTTTTCGTAAAGAAGGCCATGCAGGTCGCCGTGCAGCAGCTCTTCATAGCCAGACACCATGTGGACACGGATTCGAGGGCATTGGTCGGTGCCATATCCCTCTGGAGGCATGCTTGGTTGTGTAATTACAACTTCCCAGAGGACATGAAGAGGAGAATCAAGGAGCTGCCCTTTGACGGGTCTGGCCTCTTC